CAAATAGAAGATAATTCTAAATAATGTGTAGTTTCACTCTTAAGTATTTGTCTTTGCAATTGACTTTTTCTTTGTAATTTCCTTTTAGAGAATTTCCTAGAAAAAGAGAATCCATGGAGCACCTGTATTAAATAATTTTAAAACAAACTATCTCTATGATAACCAAAGGCAAAAATGTTTGAGTAAGTTGTCCCATACCAAGTTCTACAGTATGGTGACAGAAATATGCATTATTTAGACCACACATTATTTAGAATTGATTTTTGTGATCAACTTTCCCAGGTTTTATAACAATGAAAATACCAGACAAACCCAAGATGAGACACGTTGTGAGTATGATACGTGAAAATTATGTTTCAAACCCACAAAGCATCAGAAACCAAAGTGACCTGACCAGCAGGCCACGTAATTCATGGGCCTCGAGTTCAGGATCACCTGGGTAGGAATGGGGGGAAAGAGAAAGAGAACCAAGCACGTATAAAGAATGACAGAGTCAGTCTGAGATGCGTCTAGGTTCCATTTATTGCAGGCAGGGGTTTATTCTTATAGAGTGGTTTTGATTGGGAGGGGTAGGGTTAGAGGGGAGCGGAAACTATCGCGCCCTAGGCCAGGGAGGAAGCAATATATCTCTTGAAACATCTACGTGGTTAGGCCGTGTCTTGGCACCTTGTGTCTTGGCACCTTGTGGTCAGGTCATTCTGAGAACTGTATCACAGCTGTCTGTGCAGCAAGCTGTTTTGGCAGCAAGCTGTTTTTGCAGAGAGGATGAGGAAGATTGGCCAGTACTTTAGGTCGGGGGGCTTCTTGGTCCTCAACACCAAAGCAATACAGTATTTGTACTGGTATGTTCCCATCATAGCTTGCACAGGATGCCTGTCATCCCCCATGTTATAGACTGTCTCCACCCCGCCACACAAAGAAAAAAAATATGCTTAAAGAATTAAGAAACATAAAACATGTGGTGTCCAGTATGGAGGAGGTGGTGGATGTTCTCTAGGTTCTCACAGCTTTGCACTTCCTTTCCATGGTGATTTACATTATCAGGAATCATAATAAAGATCTTCGAATTCCTACAAACTTTCTGTCTTCCTAATGCTGGGATTAAAGGTTTGTGCCACAACTGCCTGGCTTCTTTGGCTATCCAGTGGCTTAGCTCTGCATTCTGATCTTCAAGAAACTTTATTTGTTAGATCACAAACAAAATATCACTACACCTCCAAGAGCTATGTTTTCATAAAACTGAACAATCTTCAAACATTGGACACAGCCATGTATTACTGTATGTCAGAGACACAGTGAGAGAACTCCAGTGTGAACATGGACAGAAACCTTTCTACTTAAACCAGCAGGGGATGTGGAGGATCAACAGGTACTGCCAAAAACAGTGGTCACCTGGAATGTGATGCATTTGCAACTGTTTGATGTCATAACCTTTGAGATTTTTTTTTCTTATAAACAAAGAAATCTGTTGTGATCCAGCTGCCCTCACTCCCCCGACTGACAGCGAAACTTCCTGTGTTCTGTAATTAACAAGGATATTTGTGTTCTTCTGACCTGTGGGTCTCCACAGAAGGAGTAGAGGTATAAAAGGTTGCTGGGCAAAATAAAGGTTGCTGTTCTTCCACCTGAAAAGAAGCCTCTGTGTCTCAATCCCAGCACCCCCCCCCCAGTCTTGGCTATCCAGGCTGTGCTGGCTGCAGCAAGTGGAGGGTCCACCAAGATCTGGAAAGTGCAGATACATGGACGGGGTTGCTCCAGCTGCCGGGTAAATGGAGGAGCGTATTGGGGAAGGTAAAGTGTTTTTAGTTTTCATCCCCAGAGATAACTCTGAGGGACATCCTCCAAAAACAAGCGAGTATAAAGAGGCAGGAGGGTGAATTGAAAGGCCTCAAAAAGTAACTGAATGGAGGTAACAAGGAAGACAGCCAAAGATTTTGTACAGGAGGAGGTTTAAATGTTTCAGACTGGGAACAAGCCAAGCCAGATTAAAAGGAGTATGTGTTTCTTCATCGCTAGAGATGCTCTGAGAGATGCCCTCTGGAAGATTGGCCAGTAGGGAAGAAATAAAAAGGAGACAGGAAGGTAAATTGAGGGCCTCAAATGATAGAATGTGTAGAGATATATGTTATTGTGTTGATTCTGGAAACTGCTAAGAAAGGTATTTTGACTTTAAAATATGGGCCTAAGGATTTGATGCTTTGGAAAAGAGTTTCTGCTTTTGTCTCCACAGAGGATGAGAATCTGTGGATTCATTGCAAATTTATGTGGTTTGAATCAACAAGAATCCCTGAAATGTTGATGTAAAATACCCCCAAGAATGTAGCACCCCTGCTCAGCAGGAAGTAGCCAGAGAGGTTGACTATGCCCAAATTCCCTAAAAGATTATTAAAGTGGGGCCCCTTCAATGGTTCCAGAGCAGGAGCAGCAAACCTGTTTCCCTGAGTTCTCCACTCCATGCAGCAGTTTGGATCCAGAGTGAGTGCAGCTGGGGCCAGAAGGCAGCTGAGCAGAGCTTTGCCACCACAGCTACTGCTGCCGGACTTGCTGTCTCACAGACTGTACAGATGGCTGAGATTGTCAACCAGCAGGCTGAAAGAGTCAGCAATGCTTTGGACATCCAAAGTTATCTTAATGGACATATTCAATTGGGCATATTGACCTTAAACCAACAAGTAGCTTTGGTTCAGGAGCTAGTGGACTATCTTTGGACTTTTCAACAGTTAATCAGGTTATGTGTGTTACTCATGGCACTGTATTGCATGCTTCTGCTACTGTTATGGAACTCAACCATAATATGAGAGGGGTTTGGAATGCTGCTTTTGTTAATTTTACCACCCAGTTAGTGCATGCTAGATGGTTGCAGTGCTGGTCTGGCTCCTTGGCACTGTAAGTCCTGGGGATACTTGGTTTAGGGCTATGTGCCTGGGTAGCCACGGATGGGCAATGCTTTGGGGGCAGGATGCTACCTAAGACAGGAAATATTAGAGGGCTATTCCCCATGACAAGCAAGATATTACAAAATAAAATGGGGGGAGTTGTTGTGATCCAGCTACCTTCACTCCCCCTGACTGACAGCAGAACTTCCTGTGGTCTGTAATTGACAAGGATGTTTGTGTTCTTCTGACCTATGGGTCTCCACAGAAGGAGTAGAGGTATAAAAGGTTGCTAGGCAAAATAAAGATTGCTGTTCTTCCACCTTAAAAGAAGCCTCTGTGTCTCAATCCCAGCACCCCCACCAGTCTTGGCTATCCAGGCTGTGCTGGCCACAGCAGAAATCTTCTAGAGTACCTTTTACTTGTCATGGCTTATTAATCTTTCTTTTTAATTACACATTAAACATCTGTGTTCCGCCACACTCTTCTAAGATGTCTAATTGTTCCTTGTCAAACAAATTAGCACATTAGGTACATAGATAGATAGATAGATAGATAGATAGACAGACAGACAGACAGGAGTCTGAAATTATGAAACTTTGTAAGGCAGCTTTGTAAGAATTTTGAATAATCTTTAACTTATGCTCTTTATTTTTAAACTTGTAGAGAAATCATAACTTCCTTGAATTGTTGTTATTTTTTAAGTTAGCTTAAAAAATGAACCATCCAAAGTTTCCTACTTCTAAGCTAATAGGAACTTGATAAAAGTGTACAATTGTTATAATTGTTGCACAATTATATTTTTGAACGTTTGCATTTTGGTAAAAATTATCTTGCAAATCAAAGTCTAAGCTAATGATTTCTGTACAGGCATATTGTACAACTCACACCACAAAATTCTCAATCACAAATATGCACATCCTTGCAGACATCAGCTCTGCTCCCTCATCCATATCTCTTCAGCCTTCCCACAACAGCTGAGTACTACGATTTTCACTTTGTGTTTTTGTTAGTGCTTTTGTTGCTCCCATAATTATTCCTCTGCATGCTCCATTGTTGGTTTGTGCTTGTTGTTCTTACTTCTGTTTTGTAGGCTTGGAACTAGAATGGAAGTCAATACAGGAAAATATATCTTAAGTAAAGGAGAAGACAAAAAAAATCACAGGGTAATACAAGGGTTGTGAAAGGAAAAGTTGGGTGTAGTGACAGAAAGGAGCAGAGGGGGTAGAAAACATGAGAATTTGGGAAAATAAAAACAAAGTCTTCTGAAAATATAAAATTGATGCAAAAGTTCTGTGTTTTGTTACAAAAATGCATTAAATGTCCCAATTATGATGACTATATAAATATGCAGAAATAAAAACTGACCTAAGACAACATGAAGACAGTCATCTGTTGCCTGGTATCAAGGTGGGAAAGGGAATGGAAGAGTGGGGAGTAGAAAGTAATCATAGAGAGAAATTCAAGATACAAACAATTGAGTGCTTCAAATATAAACTTATCTCCATTGCAACCACTGAGAGGAAGATACACAGTAATAAGAAACATCACATTTGCAAACTTCCTGAGGCTATAGGGCAGAATCTCTAAGAACTGAGTAAAATTCAGAAAAGTAAAAATTGATCCTATCACATTGAAGGAGTTCTACTTAGAGGCGGGTGTGACTCCACCCAAGATTCACCTCAGAAAGAATCCATGTCCAGCAGAGACAGAGGGACAGACAGAGCTAATATCTAGAAACACAACTGTGTGTGGAGATTTTTAATTTCAAATTGATCCTAAAGAGACATGACAGAGTGGAAACACAACATTTTCTATGCATATGGTGAAAAGGGAACTAAATAAAGTGTGATAAATCCCTAACAAGGAAAATGTGTACACAGAGCTACGTTAATTCTCCAATTTCTATAACTGTCATCAGTCTGTATGATGCCTTATATCTGCTCTGAGTAATGCCTTCTACCCTGGTCCAACTACAGAGAGCCTGTTATGGGAGGAAGATATGCAAATATGGCTTCTTTGTGCCCATAAAATTCAGCCTTGCCCTGACCCTGAAGATTTGACAGAGGAGACACACCCTGGATTCCCAAGTCCTCCCAGTCAGGGTTTAACATTGAACACAGGAAACTTACTATGGACTTAAGGCTCACATTGGTTTCCTTTGTTCTTATTTTAAAAGGTAATTCTTAAAGATGACAGGCTGTGTATTGTGTGGACATGAGAAAGAGAAAAAATGTCTTCTGTGTCAGTTTTCTAACCAGAATTCTTTGTGTTTACAGGTGTCCAGTGTGAGATGCAATTGCTGGAGTCTGGGGGAGGCTTAGTGCAGCCTGGAAAGTCCCTGAAACTCTCCTGTGCAGCCTCTGGATTCTCCGTCAGTGGGTACTGGATGAATTGGGTCCATCAGGCTCCAGGGAAAGGGCTGGAGTGGGTTGCAGCCATTAGTACTGGTGGTAGCACCTACTATCCCGACGCTGTGAAGGACCGGTTCACAATCTCCAGAGACAACGCCAAGAACACTCTGTACCTGGAAATGAGCAGTCTGACGTCTGAGGACACAGCCATGTATTACTGTGCAAGAGACACAGTGAGTGAATGCTACTGTGATCTCAGACAAAAACACCCCTGTTTGGTACACGGGACCAGCAGGGGGCGCTGAGAGCACTTAGAAATCTAGGTCACAGAAGAGCCTGCTCAGAGAAGCATGGACCCACCCACTGAGACAGTGGAGCTGATCTACTGGGAGCTCACCAAGGCCAGCTGGACTGTGACCGAAAAAGCATGGGATAAAACCGGACTCTCTGAACATGGCGAACAATGAGGGCTGATGAGACGCCAAGGACAATGGCACGGGGTTTTGATCCTACTTAATGTGCTGGCTTTGTGGAAGCCTAGCCAGTTTGGATGTTCACCTTCCTAGATATGGACGGAGGGGGGAGGACCTAGGACTTACCACAGGGCAGGGAACCTGGACTGCTCTGTGGACTGGAGAGGGAGGGGGAGAGGAGTGGGGGGAGGGGTAGAAGGGTGGGAGGAGGGGGAGAAGGGTGGGAGGAGGGGGAGGGAAATGGGAGGCTGGGAGGAGGTGGAAACTTGTTTTTTGTTTATGTTTTTTTTTTCTTCTTTTCTTAATAAAAAAAAAATTATTTAAAAAAAAAAAAAAAGACTGAACTTCTCTGTCTGCACTGCCTCTCCATATCACACTTACTCATTTTCTCTACAGGTATAGTGTGTAGTAATCCTTGAATGTCCAAATGGTTATTCAAATTTCTGTTTCAGTTTCGTTATGTTTGTTTATTATAGTGTTTCTCCTTGTTTCCCTTAATATCTCTCTGTATACCTATATCTGTCTATGTGTCAGTCTTTCTCAGTTTCCCTATTTCTCTCTCTCTCTCTCTCTCTCTCTCTCTCTCAATCTTTCTCACTCCTCTCCATGTATCTGGGGGGATATTGATCTATGATGACTTTTTCTAACAATCTGCACCACTTATTGTGAGATAAATTCTATCACTGGGCCTGGTTATCAATGACAAGATAGTCTAGTTGTCCAGTGAGTCCCAGTGATTGCTCATTCTCCATATTCCCTATGTGGTATGCCTGGTTGACTGCCAAACCCATTTCTTTTTTTAGTTATGGATTCTGAGTTCTGTGTTTACAACCCACTGAAGCATTCTTGTGTGGCAAAAACTTGATTTTCACAGCCCCGTTATAGTTACTTTTTAAATTTAGGATGTGCATTTACCTGGAAAAAAATGCATATAATCACACAGAGCAAAACGATCCTGTTTAGTGACCAGCATCAGTTCCTGAAGAAGCCAAAAAAGATGGTAAACCCTAGAAGATGAAGACAACTCAGAGCCACATGTGAGTCTAGAGGACCCTGTCTATCTGTTTATCTCCATGAGCACTACACTACCCACACAGAAGCGTATACCTCTAATTAAGATACTATATTTTTTAAAAGTTCTCATTCAATGCTGTGACTTGGCCTAATGGTGGAAGTGGGCAGAAGAGGTTGCATAGAGTTAACATTTTTAATAACCACAGAAATGGATCTTAAACCAAAAAGAATTAGTTGCTTGTAACCTTTTACCAAAGAAAGAATGAGACCAAGTGTTATGGGAATTAAGGAGAAGGGATGCTGTGGAAATGGGAATGTAGTTCTACTAACACATTGTGAAAACTGTTGGGGCCTTAAGAGAATTACACAAGACAATGTAACTCTGCAATCTCACGTCTGGATGAGCAGAAAAAGAAGCAGAGTTGATGTAAGAAATCAGGAAAGGAGAGAGAAGCGAAAAGAAGAGACACGAGAGTAGGAGAGGACAAAAGGGTCAAAGGAGAGAGAGAAAGAGGAGCGAGGGCAGTTGGATGAATCCATGAGTTCACAGTGCATTATATAAGTGAGCATGGTGAATTTGTTTTTAAGCAGAATGAATGACATAGGTGTGAAAAGAATATTTTCAAGTATCATATGATGTTAATATACATACATACATCTGCCCTTGTATGTGTCTCTTTGTGAAGGATTGCCTCTGTTGTTATTTCTATGTGTATTTGTCTGAATGCCTGTGTGTTTGCTTCAGAGATGTATACTTTCTCATCATCTATAAATAATTTACATTACAGAGGTGACCACAACATCAACAGCAGAAACCTGCTCTGAGATCAGATGAGCAGCAAGGCTGGGATTCAAGGTTTGAATTCAGGTTCAGGGACTCTCTTACTCTGAGCAAACCTCTGAAGACATTCCAGTTCCCATTCTTCTTTAAGATCCCAGTGATTCCCAAAGCACCAGAGCAGAGAACACAGCTCAACAGAACCTGTCTTTCTCCTTTAGAGGTGTGACAGACATTGTTATTCATATGTGCAGTCTGCTTAATTTTTTTTTTTTCATTTAGGTGTGTGGTGTTGAACATGAGTAGTGAGATACCAGAACATGCTGTGGTTCAACTACACAGTAGTCTTGAAAGGGTCATGGAGTCCAAACTCAGAATAGGAGTCACCAACTGAGGGTGAAGTTTTTCTCTACTTCTCCTTGTCTTCTTCCTTCTGTTTTCTTTGTTTGGTTGATTTATCCTCCTTACCCCAACGTTCTCAAAATCTATGCACAGTAAATTGATCCTTTTTCTGTTTTGTTTTGTTTTGTTTTTGTGTATTTGAGATAGGGTTTCTCTGAGCCCGTCTGAAATTAGCTCTTTGTACACCAAGCTGGCTTTGAACTCATAGTGATCTGCCTCCCGAGTGTTAAGTTTATAGGTTTGCCACCATTACTGGGCATTAAATTGATTTTTTTACAGAATCAGCAGAGTGTCAAGGAAGAAGTAATTGTGGTTCCTGGTATTTATTGTAGTAGTGTACAAATGCAGTTATCAAAACTTATTTTCTGTAGAAAAAATGTGATGTTTTAAAAGATTAAACTAGGCTTGTAGCTCTGTGGTAGAGTGCTTTGTTACCATGTGAAAGATTTTATGTTTAAGAACCAAACTCACTTAAAAATAAGAATTGAGCACTTAGAAAAATACCGTTTCTTACTTTCATAGTCTTAAATGAACCTCTCGTGGATGGAAAAGGAATGGAAGTGCCCACAGTGAGAAGTGAAGTTAGAAACCTGTGGAGAGGAAACAGGTCTACAGGAGTTCATATCTTGGCTTCCATGGCAAGCAGTTCATCCAAGGGTCTACAGCATCTGTGGCACAGTTGTGAATAACTACAAACCATGAATCTAATGCCAAGTCAGGACAGTGTTAGAATGGCTAGAAATGCTAATTGGCTAGACTGTGTGTGCATAGTATATGGTTTGAACATGTGTCAGGAGGCTAGAGAGGAGTTTGAGTATGTCACCAGTTGATTTCTATCTTATTTTTGAGTAAGGATATCACAATAAACCTGGAGCACAAATGCTCAGACAGAATCTTTGGATGGCAAGACTGAGAGTACCTCCAGTCACAATGCCTCCAGTGCTGGGAATTATAGGATAAACAATCACACCCAGCTTCTTAATTAAGTGTTGTGAATCAACCTAAGACTTTAATAATGGGAGGCAGATGCCTTACCACCGAGCCAACTCTTGAGGCCTGAATATTATCACTGTACATTGATAAAAGAATTGTAATCTGTAAAACAAGTATGTGTATTGTACAATAATTTTAAAAGAGAAAATATATTGCCAGTTATGGATTTTTGAACCATTAACTGTCTATATGGAAATGAATGCCTCATGTCATTCCAGAAACCCAGAATCCAGGGGTAGAGAACAGCAACCCAGAAGCTGCATATGCCTTCATGTGACAACGAATTGCCCTGAGGGGTTGCAGCATTCATCAACCACTTATGCTCTGACTTGCACTGCACACTGCTTAAGCACTGCGCTGCAAGGGGGATTTAAAGACCGCTCAGAAAAGAGCAGATCAGGCAGACAGAGACTGTCTGGGCCTGTGGAGCCCGGAAGGCATGGAATTTAAACCCAAATGGGGAGGCAAATGATAAGATGCATGAGGACTTGAAGCCAATCTGAGGCATAAAAAGAGAAAGTATAAAGAATTGCAACAAAAAAAGCCACTGCATGATATTCTACATTGAACTGCTGGCTCCACGCACAGGCCTTGGCTGAGGGAGGGCTCATGCTAGGCCAAGCTCGTGGCAGGCAGCAGAGCCAAAGCGGGGGGGGGGGGCCTCTAAAACCAAAGGTTTGGCTCCAGATGAAGGCATAAATCACAAACAATCCCACACCAGTTTGGAATTATGATTAATAATATGGTTATTTATTTGAAGGGAAAAAATTTACAGATTAAAATCCCAGACAACAGCCCTCTGAGTGATCAGGAAAAAAGTCTAGTATCCAGAAGAAGATCTGGAAGCAAGAGAGCAAGCACACAGCTACTGTTGCTTTTTACAATAAAAGGGACCACGCTCAAGTGGGCTGGTATCTTAAAGGCTATTGGCTAAAGGAGTGGAAGTAGCTCCCGCAGCAAGCATGGGATATAGAGGACCAACAGGTACTCCCATAAAGAGAGGTGGTAACTTAAGAAACTAGGAAGTTCTGGAATATGCTTCATTTATACCTGTTTGATGCCATAACCTTTGTTTTTTTCTTCCTTTACACAAGGAAATTATCTAGAGTTCCCTTTACTTGTCATAGTCTATTAATCTTGCTTTTAAATTGGACATTAAAACATCTGGGTTCCCCCACAATCCTCTAAGATGGCTAATTGCTTCTTGTTAAACAAAATAGCACATTAATTTTATATATTCCATATACACATTTCATCATGTATTTTTACATACACACACACACACACACACACACACACATATATATATATATATAATCGAGTATGAAATTTCAAAAGTTGCTGATTGCCAATTTTATAATACAGTTTAGAAATTTCGAATAATCTTTCATTCATTCTCTTTATTTCTAAACTTGTGATAGAGAAACCAAAACTGCCCTGAATTAATGTTAATTTCCAAAGTTACTTTAGAAAATGAACCATCACAGTTTTTTTTCTCTTTTAAACGAATAGGACCTTATAAAAGTATACAGTTGTTATAATTGTCACAAAATTCTATTTTTGAACATTAGCATTTTGATAAAATTTAGCTTGCATTTCAAAATCTAAGCAAATGATTCCTCTATAGGCACATTTGTAACTCAGA